TGTTTGGGTTTTAAAAGGAAAAGGGAAAATTTGTAAAACCGAAAAGGTTTGTGGTCATTGGGAAAGCGAAAAAGTGGTCGAAATTGGTGGGGGGTTTTTGCATTTGGTAGGGGGTGGGGGAGGGTGGGGGGGGTTTTGGTGGGGGGGGGGGGTGGGGGGGTGGGGGTGGGGGGTGGGGGAGGGAGTGGGGGGGTTTTGATGGTGGGGGGTGGGGGGGTGGGGGGGGGTGGGGGTGGGGGGGGGGGGGGGGGAGAGGGGGTGGTGGGGGGGGGTGGGGGGGGGGGGTGGGGGTGGGGGGGGGGGGGGGGTTTTGTAGTGGGGGGGGTTGGGGGGGGGTTTAGGGGGTTGGGGGGGGTGGGGGGGGGTTGGTGGTTTTTGGGGGGGATTGGTGGTGGGGGGTGTGGGGGGGGGGGGGTGGTGGTGGTGTGGGGGGGGGGTTTGGGGGGGTGGTTTGGGGGGGGGGGGGTTTGGTGTGAGGGGGTGGGGGTGGGGGGGGGTGGTGGGTGGTTGTTGGGGGGGGGGGTGGTATTTGTTGGGGGGGGGGAATTGGGGGGTTTGTTGTATTTGGGTGGTGGTTTTTGGGTGTATTTATTTGTGGTGGTGGTGGTAGTGTAGGGGGTTGGTGGTAGTAGTGTGGGGGGGGTTTGTAGTAGTGGGGGTGGTGGGGGTTTTTTGTAGTAGTGGTGGTGGTGTGGTAGTAGTAGTAGTGGTGGTGGTGGTGTAGTAGTAGTGGTGGTGGTAGTAGTAGTGTGGTGGTGATGGTGGTGTAGAGTAGTGGTGGTGGTGGTAGTAGTAGTGGTGGTGATGGTGGGTGGTAGGTAGTAGTAGTGGTGGTGGTGGGTGGTAGTGAGTAGTGGTGGGTGGTAGTATGTAGTGGTGTGGGGTGGTTGGTGGTGGTGGTAGTAGTAGTGGTGGTGGTGGTAGTGGTGATGGGTGGTGGTGGTAGTAGGTGATGGTGGTGGTGGTAGTAGTGTGGTGGTGGTGGTTGTAGTAGTGATGGTGGTGGGGTAGTGTGGTGGTGGTAGTGGGTGGTGGTGTTAGTAGTAGTTTTTGGTGGTGGTAGTGGTGATGGTGGTGTGTGGTTGGTAGTAGTAGTGTGTGGGGGTGGTGGTAGTAGTAGTGGTGGTGGTGTGGGGATGGTGTGGTGGTGGTGTGGGGGGTGGGAAGTAGATGGGTGGGGTGGTGATGTGGTGTGGGGTAGTGGTGGGTTGTGGTGGGGGGTGGGGTTGGTAGAAATTTGGGTTGGTGGTGGGGGGTTTGGTGGGGGGTGGTAGTAGTGATGTTGGTGGTGGTGGTGATGGGGGGTGGTGGTAGTGTAGGGGGTTTTTGGTGGTAGAAAGTGGTGGGGGTATGGTGGTGGTAAAATTTTGGTGGTATGTGGTGGTGATGGTGGGGGGATGGTGGTGGTAGTAGAAATTGGTGGGGGGGGTGGTATAGTGGTGGGGGGGGGGGTTTTGGGGGTTTTTGGGGTGGATAAAGGGGTGGGGGGGGTTTATTTTTGTTTGGGGTTTTTGGGGTTTTTTTTTTAAATTTTGGGGGGGGTTTTAGAGGGGGGGGGGGGGGGGGGTTTTTTTTTTGTTGGTTTGGGTTGGTGGGGGGGTTTTAGTATTTTTTTTTTGGGTGGGGTAGATATATTTTTGGTATTTTTAAAAAGTTTTTTAATATTTTATTTTTTTTTTAATTTTTTTTTTTTTATATATTTTTATATATTTTTATATGTTTAGATAGGTTTTTTAAAAAGGATATTTTTTTTTTTTTGGGGTTTTTTGGAAATTTTTAATATGGGGGGGGTTTTTTTATTATTTTTTATTTTTTTTTTAAAATATTTTGGGGGGTTTAAAGGGTTTTTATTTTTTGGGGGGTTTTTATTTTTAGTTTGAATATATTTTTTAAATTTTTTTTTTGTATGGGGGTTAAAATTTTTTTTTATAATATTTTTTAAAATTATATTTTAATATTTTTTTTGGGGGGATTTTTTTAATTTTAAATATATATAAAATAGTTTTTTATAAAATTTATATATTTTTTTTATTAAAAATTTTAAATATTTTTTTAAAAAATTTTGGGTTTTAAAAAATTTTTTTTTTTTTTAAATTTTTTATTGGGGGGGTTGGGTTTTAAAAAAGGGGGGGGGGGGTTTTAGTATTATTTTAGTTTTTTTTTTTAAGTTTATTTATATATAATAATTTTTTTTGGGGTTTTGGGGGTTATTTTTTTTTTTTTTTTGGGGGTTTTTTCTAAGGGGAACCACCCCAAAACAGTTCCAAAAAAGGTCCGGTACCTAGAACCATTCCACCGTCCGGAATCACGTCTGATTCATAGTTGCACCCGCAAAAATTTCAAACACCCCCCCCCCATATGGGTACTGGGGTTAGTCATCTTAAAGAGAGAGCAAGGGGGCAGGTCACCGGCTGTTTGGCGCTTTCCCCACTACGGGAATATCTACACCACCTACGATATTTTTTTAACCCTATCCCGTGTTAACCCCAATATAGTTTGGGGGTGGGAGTGTGGGGTGGTGGTGGTGGTTGTTTGTGGGGGGTGTGGGGTTTGGGGTGGTGGTGGGGGTGGGGGTGGTGGATAGTGGTGGTGGGGGTGGTGGTATAGTGTGTGGTGGGGGGGGGTAAATAGTGTGGGGGTGGGAGTAGTAGTGGTGGGGTTATAGTTAGTAGTGGGGTGGTTTAGTATGGGGGAGTAAGGGGGGTGGTGGGGGTAGTTGGTGGTAGTGGGGGGTGGGAGTAGTGGGAGTTGGTGGTGGTGGGTGGTGGTGTAAATGGGTTTTTGGGGTGGTGGGGTGGTGGTTTGGTGGGGGGTGGGGTGGGATGGGGGGGTGGGGTGGGTGGGGGTGGGGGGGGAGTGGTGGGGGTGTGGTGGTGGGGATGGGGTATGGGGGTGGTGGTAGTAGTGGGGGTGGGGGAATGGGGGGTGGGGGGGGGGGGGGGGGGGGGGGGGGGGGGGGGGGGGGGGGGGGGGGGGGGGGGGGGGGGGGGGGGGGGGGGGGGGGGGGGGGGGGGTTTTTTTTTTTTTTTGGGGGGTTTTGTGGGTTTTGGGGGGGGGGTTTTTTTATATTTTTGTTTTAAAAAATTTTAAAAGGTTTCCCAAATCAGAAGCCCGGCCCCCAACCGCCTTTAAAATTTGGGGTTTTTGAACAAGTATCGTATCCTTTCCAAATTACCTTAAAATACAGTTTATTCAATATGCTTCAGAAATTTCAACTGGTAGGCTACTAACAGAGAATCAAAATTTAATAAATTTATTAATCTAGAGGATAATTAAAATTTAAACACAGCAACAAAATAAAATCAATCTCTTGAGTTCAATATTATTGTGCTGAAAGCACATATCACATTTATAATTCTTAAGTTCCGTCTGGTACATTAACATTTAATAAAATATTACAAATATGTACAAGTAAGTTTGTGTATGCGTGTAAGTGCTCTAAGTAGTTCGCTATGTCTCACGACTCGACTAGACTTAAACAAGTGACTGACAAAGTCCTCTAATAAACTAACTTCTTGACCGACTGGCAACCAGAACAGTCTGCTTGAACAATGAAAAGAATGCTAAGCCCAATAGCCATATAACAAGTGACTGCGACACAATCAGGATCAAGGAGATAATATAACGACACTGAGCAGGGACCATCAGCAGATCCTCCACAAAAGTTACAAAACTCCCATACTACTGAATCTAAGTTCAGCATAGGAAAAACCCTGACTGTGACAATACACAGAAACCAGTACAAAATTAGGTCAGAAGCTATAGCTCGGGACCTGAGATGCTCAGAGTGTCTATGCGACACACAACCTCAGTACAACGTCGAAAATCACTAAGTCTATACAATGTTCTGTGAACAGAGTTCTACAGAACTAACAAGAATAATGAGACAGACAATCTGTCCAACCACCAAGAGAGTCTAGAGCAGACTGAATACTTCACGAGAGGCGAGGACACCCCCCCCCCTCGATCACGTGATAGCCCCGTGGACAGCACAGCTCAGAAGCCGGCAGTATAACGAGCGACAAGCGATAATTACAGTAGTTTGACAATCAAGACTTGAACTGAGCACATATTATGCACATCCTAACAACATAAGTCAAATAAGAATATAAAGCAATATATTTACGATTTAGCTATTATCGCAAATATAAGCAATATAAAATTATATGAAAAGATAATATACATTATATATATATACATAATAATCATTGTAACCCATTCAGGGGTTGCAACACTTGGTAAGTAGCGTGGATGGTGACCACTAGCAGACGAACTGACCGATGCCCTAGTCATCCAAGACAATGTCTCCTACCACCAACAGTGTGTTGCTGATATTGGCACAATTATGCACAGTTGTCACCAGGATGACCTTCCTGGGTCACCAGGATGACCTTCCTGGGTCACCAGGATGACCTTCCTGGGTCACCTGGCTTCCCTTCCTGGGTCACCTGGCTTCCGTTATGTTGATGACGTCCAGAACAATCAACATGGAGAGCATAACAGTTTGATAGATATATATTGAAATAATACAGTCTACCTGTTACAGTAATTAATATTCAATAATATATTATTTGATAAGTAACGCCTTTATTATTTTTCCAGGTCAAATAGATTGATGTTTATGTTAGTGATTAATAATTCAGTTATTCTTATGTTAACATTCCAGTATCATAACTTAAATTTTTCCCATGTAAATAGTTGTGATGATATGTCATGATGAATGCTCATCATAAAAGCAATAAAACAAAATGTGGCAAGTGTAGTGGTATAATATTATTATGATAATCATACAGATGACAAGGAAGATGCTTCCCACCTGCTGTATCATCCTCATCATCCGAAATACTGAGTATTGCTTCGTAATATTTACAAATTCACTAACGAAATACAGAATAATTATTTCTTCCTTCTAGTATATCAACTCCAGCAACAGTGTAACACATGAACATTATATTACCATAATGCCACTGAAGTTTTAATGAGTAATGTTCATCTCACAGGTTAACTGACGTCATGGGTATCCCAGACGAGAGAGTTGTGTTGAGGCGGCGCTACAAGTATTTTCTTAGAATGTGGAGGAACCCAGCAGCCTAGGCTGGAAATGATTTTTCACTGTGTGGAAAGTTGCATATAAATCACTGGCAACTATTTTCAGTGATAAAAAAAAAAAGCTTAGCACCTACATCCTCAGGGTATATTATTTTTTCCCCGAGGCTTTAATATTCTTTGTCAATCCAGAGTTACATAGTTCTGAGCGCCATTGTAAAGCCTAACGTTTTAACTGCGAATTTTTAAACTAATAACTAAGCAGTGTTGAACCCACAATGCAGTTCTTGCTGGAAATGAAGCTAAGGAGCAACATCCTTTCCTAGATACATATAATGGAAGACGACGATGTGGAAAATAATTTCCCAAAATTATGCTGTATATTTTTTATAATGTAAATATACCTGATTAATACATTACTATTGCTCTAAAGTGTGTTTTAAAGAAGTGAACCGACAGGGAAGCTCTGCGCCTGCGCTGACGAGCATGGGAGAGACGCCATTGTTTTGAATGTGGTAAAGGCACGTTAATGAAATGTACATAAATTTTCGTCGCTCTAAGGGTTATATTGGGCTTAAAACCTCTCAAATAGGAGCCGAAATTGTTGGATTTGCAGTCCTGCATAAAGTGTACGTTAAGCAGATGGACAGGACAGCTTCAGATTATTATTATTATTATAATCAAGGGGGAAGAGCTAAACCCGTAGGATTACACAGCGCCCAGGGGGGGATGTGGAAGGCATTCAGGCTTAATTCGGGGAACTGGAGCACAGATTCAATTCCCTAAATCAAGAGCCCCTCACCAACATCAAGGAACCTTCCATGAGGGGAGGAGAGCTTCAGAACCTCAGCTAAGTTGTCTATTTATGTTGAGATTCTGGCCAGTATTTTCTTCATATTTAGGCAGGTGTTTGTGTATGATACACCAAGTAATCTCCAGACAAATTGGAGAGTCTTATTATTATAAATTTTCCTTCAATGTATATGTATTCACATTTTAAATTTAATATACAGTCTACATATTTATATTAATGTTTTACCAGAATTCCTGGTGATGTATATTTCATTTGAAATTAATATAGGTCCAGTGTGACTTGTGGAGAGAGAGATTATGGTGTTGTGCAAAGAAAGGTATAAAATACCGACAATATGAAAGTTAAGACACATGTGCAACATCTGGATATCTTTATTGTAGTAGACGTTTCGCCATCCAGTGGCTTTATCAATACAGATTCTAGGACATAATAGGAAGACAGTAGAACTATATACAAAAGATGAGGTAATCAGTCCCTCGGCCTTGGAGTCAGTGTTCACAGCATCGTGGTGGAGGAGAGTCTCTCCTCCACCACGATGCTGTGAACACTGACTCCAAGGCCGAGGGACTGATTACCTCATCTTTTGTATATAGTTCTACTGTCTTCCTATTATGTCCTAGAATCTGTATTGATAAAGCCACTGGATGGCGAAACGTCTACTACAATAAAGATATCCAGATGTTGCACATGTGTCTTAACTTTCAGAGATTATGGTAGGTATCGAAGGGGGACATTTTTTGCGACCTAGGTGTCCTAAAATTCCTACTTGTCTCTGTATCCTTGATAAAGAATAATTATCTTTGTTACCATTTACTGGTATATACCTTATGAGTTACATCCAGGTAAATTTAATTTTCCACAGACGAAATGCCATAATGCATCTTAGAAACTGACGTTAGTAAATATAGAGAACGAACAACGTTGACGATAATGGTTGTCCATAAAACTATATTCACATTATGGATTGGAAACGTAGTAGTAGCTATTTAGGATTATTACTACTGGTAGTGAATTTAATATCACTACTATTACTCCTACTCTCTCCAGCCCCTATATATAGCCAGTTTTCTCTCGTACTGAAAGTGAACGAGGTCTCTTAATAGAAGTTTTCGAAGTCAATGCATTTCTATCCATTTTCCCAGACTATCGACTACTAAACTTTATTCTAACTGAGCAGTCGCTGAAGATCTCCACAGTATTTGTTTTACCTTTGTCATTACTTTGTATTTTCGTGTTCATCTCCACCGCTGCTCGCAATGACAACTTTCCAGAGACATTAACCTCCTGCTGCTGTTATTTTCACAGTTCCTTGATGTGGGAAATCATTTAAGTGCTTGGAAATTCACTTTTTTTTCAGTGGTTATTTTACATACATTAGTTAGTTCACTGATAGGTTTGTAGTTAGGCTGCAGTCTACAAGCCTTCATTCACTCTTCACTCTATGATATGGAAGACTCAAAGCTAAGTAAATAAGTAAGTTTATTCAGGTATACACAAATACAGTTACATAGAATTATAATACATAGCAGCATATGTGTAGAGAACCTAGGATAACCCAAAAAAGTCAGAGTGACTTATTTCCATTGGGGTTCCATTGTAATTCATAAGGAACCGCTAAACCCATTGGGGTGATATAGCTCCTGGGGGATGAGTTTCAAGAGAAAGAGAGGTAAGTACTAATTCTTTGGATGAAGAGCCCTTTTCCAGCATCAAGGTCCCCTCCTTCATTCTTGAAGGTGTACGGGACAGTAGTGGCCCTGACTTACTTTCTGGCAGAGTACTGAAGATGAGAATAGGGATGCAGTTACACAAATTCAGTTTTAGGCCGATACTGACACAATCAAAATTAAATGACATCAATTCATTGGCACACACCAACCAGTGAAGAGGCGTGACCAGGAGCTGTGACTCAACCCCTGCACTACAAATATGTAAGAACATTTGTAAATGTGATCTCAAGTTAGCCGTTTTTATTGCTTTATCAAAGTAAACAGTGCAGACATTTGGACTATTTCGTCACATTAAAAACCTTTATTACTTATTGTGAAAATTACAACAGATAGCTAAGAAACTTTACTAGTCAATGTAAAATTATTACATAGTATTAAATACACGTCCTATACATATATTATGAAAATATTTAAAAAGCTAGAGTTATCTCACGGTTCTTCCTACACTGTAATGTTTACAGTTATTATTCGCAAGTCAGTGGAATGTACAGTGTGCGGCCGTCGCAGTCTAAGTGTATGACAGATTCGCGTAATGTGGTGGGTGACCTTGTCTACGCTACACTCAACCTTCACCAGCTACACCGCGGTATCCTGTGTACACAACAAAGCATACAATCATTCCAGCCAGCAACACACTGCTATCCTATCATCTTTTATTCGACCAAGCAGCGAGTATACTATCTCATCATGTCTTATTCGACCAAGGAACACACTGCTGTTCCATCGTGTATTATTCGACAAAAAAAAAACACACTGTCATTCCATCATGTTTTATTCGACCAAGCAGCGCACTGTTATGTCACTGGGACAAGATGCTTGACCAACATTTGAATTCCTAGGTCGTAATTTTCAGATCAATTAGAGTCATTAAAACCATGTCATAGGCCTTTAAAAAAATAGGATCAAAATTAATCACTGGGTAGCGCGAAACTTTAGGAAAACTCTGAAAAACTCATCAATCATCGCCTTCGCAGATACCTGGAACACAACTCTCTACTTTCTGATGGCCAGTTTGGCTTCAGAACACACAGATCCACACAGGATGCCATTAACATCTTTCTCAACTACATCAACACAAAACAAAGAAACAAGACAGCCCTGGTTGCAAAAGACGTTGAAAAAGCCTTTGACACTGTGTGGCACGAAGTGCTCAAGTACAAACTCTGCACTAACTTTAACCTGCCTCTCAATACTCGTAAACTCCTCTGCAACTTCCTAGACGGCCGTACCATGAGAATAAAATTCCAAGGCTGTTACTCTGACTACTTCACACTAAATGCCGGAGTACCCCAGGGATCTGTCCTCTCCCCTACCCTCTACATTATACACTAACGACATTCCAACACCTGTATACCACAACTCCATCACACTAGGCTATGCAGACGACATTACACAACTCATCACTCATGCCAATATAGATACACTCACACACAAAACAAAATGAGGTCGACAGGATAGCCATCTGGGAACAAAAATGGAGGATCAAATCCAATGCAGCTAAATCCAGCATTACGTATTTTAATTACAGGAAACGTGATCCTCCATTACCTGTCGAGCTCAGAACAGCTGACACCCGCACTTACATCCCCATCACACAATCTGTCACTGTCCTTGGCGTTAATCTTGACTACCTTCTTCGTTTACACGGACACATTCACTCAAGGCATGCAAATAACTAGTAAGGCCCTTGCGGGCCTCTACAAGCTGAAACATGCCTCCCAACGCACCAAACTACACCTTTACAAATCCCAAATACGTCCTCTGATAACTTACTCTCCTCTAGCCCTCTCTCTTGCAGCAAAAACAAACTCAGTTCAACACTCCTCTCTAGCGCTAAACGTCGCATGTCCCTTCCTCCCCGCTCACCCCACCGGAGTCCCAACAGAAGAGCCTGAATTTCTCTTCTCAATATCTGTCCCACGATCGCCTTCGCTGCTGGGTTAAGCCCTGGCTCTATTTCTACGACTAAGAACACTCCTCTCCAGCACTATTCTTCGTCTGTCCCGTCTTCCCCGCTCATCCCATTTGGGATCTTACCTGAACTTTCGTTCGTTACCCCAAGTAGATCTGTTTGTGGCTTGAAAAAGCCTACTGTGGGCGAAACGTTGTCAATAAAGGATCACATTAAACTGCATGTGTGTTCATATTTCCACCGTGTCGGTATTTTATACCACTTATTTCCACTGTAGTAAGGAGACCAAAACTCAGCGGCATAATCTGTGTATATATGTATGCATGACTATGTATATATGTATACATGTCTATGTATACATGTATGCATGTCTATGTATATATGAATGCATGTCTATGTATATATGTATGCATGTGTATGTATGTGTATGTGTATATATACATCGTGCCGAATAGGTAAAATTTGCGATTCTGGCTTAAATAGCAACGCTCTTCTTGCCGAATAAGGCAAGCGAAAATTTGCGTATGCAATAATTTCGAAAAAAATCATTCTGAACCTAACAAAAAAATATATTTCACTGTATTTATTATTAAATTATTATAAACTTATCTAAAATATATTTAGTTGGATTAGGCTAAATTAAATTGCGCTTCTTATAATAAGGTTAAGTAAGTTTTTTTTAGATTCTTTTGGTACAAAATTATTAAATTTTACATTAATATAATTGAGAAAATATATCTTTAAACGTATAAAAGAAAATTTTAGGACTTAATTTAATTGAGCTCTTGCTAATTGACCAGTTTTACCTATTTGGCACGACATTATATATATATATATATATATATAATATATATATATAAAATATATAATATATATATATATATATATATATAATTATCACACATCTCATATTGGAGGGTGGGATTATGGAAAAAGCGAATGTATTCAAAATATTTGGGAGCGGACGTGTCAGCAGATGGGTCAGTGAAAGATGAGGTGAATCGTAGAAGTGATGGGGGGAGGAGGCGAGTGGAGCACCGAGGAGTCTGCGGAGACAGAACGTTATCCATGGAAGCAAAGAGGGGAATATATGAGAATATAGTGGTATCAACACTTTTATGAGTGTGAAATATGGGTGGTGAATGTTGCAATAAGGAGAAGGTTGGGGGCAGTGGAGATGTCGTGTGAGGGCAATGTGTGGTGTGAATATAATGCAGAGACAATCTGAGAATAACAGCCTCGAAAGCCAAATCCAACCCAAAGTTGTTATATATCCACATCAGGAAGAAAACAGTCAGGGAAAAGGTAATCAGGTTGAAGAAGGAAAGTGGGGAATGACCAGGAAGTCTGTGAAGAGCTCAGCATGAAACAGAGAAGTATTCTTAGAGACCGAAAGGCTACCAGCAAACCGAAACAGTAGAGTACATCAGAAAGCACTGAACACAGTACACACACCGGGAAGGTGAAGAAGCTACTATGTGAACTAGATACCTAGACCAAGTTAACATCTCTCCATGGGTCCCGAGAGGGCAAGCAGAGGCAGTGTGTGCTGCTAGGAATAATTTCCAA